ATAGATAGATAGATAGATTTATGTGTTTCTGAATCCTGTGATTTTTTTCCACACTAAGACCTCAGTAGACCAGGTTTAGATCTAAAACCACTTCACTGAAACAGGTCAAATCTAGACCAGATTGTCCAGATTTAAAGAAGCAACGTTGCTCAAATTCTGAGACACATAAACACAACAGACATGACGTTTACTGGAAACCACAGGAGGGTTCACCAGCTTGAATGTGGGATAAAATCTGCAATTTGTAGTAAAGAAAAGTCTGTTTTTTTTAAGTTTCCCAATGTATGCAAACCTCCCCTCCTTCTGTCCAATAGTATGAACTGCATCCCTTGCCGTGGCTTAACGTCTTGCTGTGATGCGTGAGCTCTCAGTCAGTGTGTATGCTCATATGTTGGAGGTTCCCAAACGTCCTCACACTACATGTCCCCTTACTTTTTGTCACGCCTGTGTCTGCACCTTCCACTGAGTCAACCTTCCTGCTCTCGTGGTGTTTTTATAAACGGCTGGATGTGAAGCCTGTAAACGACATCCTGTCTGGTTTACCTTGCATCCCCTCCAGAAGGCCTGGATGTGCAGAGCAGCCTGATCCTTGCTCAGCGGGATGGGGCTGCAGAGGAAACAGAGCACAGACCTCTGTGTTAGGACATATCTAAGGAGATGCATGTCTGTGTCCCGTCGCTGTTTATAGACACGTGTGGACTGCATGTCCACCAGAGAGTGAGCGGAGACACTCACTGCGTCTTGAGCCAGTCCTTGACAAACGGGATGTCTTCGAAGGCCACGGGGGGCTGCTCCTGCCTGCAGGGGTTGTGGCTGGAGATGGAGCAACAACACAACGCTGACACAAACACACACCGCCGGTTGGCACACACTGCACTTAGAACGTCAGGACTTACTTGTAGAGCCACTCGGCGAGGAAGATGCAGGGGTTAAAGTTAGCAGTAGTTGTAGTTGTAGGTGTTGTAGTAGTTTTCTCCTGAAACACAGACAAGAGGCTTCAGGTGAACGTCAGAGTTCTGTTAATGGAGTTGTAGTACTTTACTGTGTATAGTTATGCTGCTGGTGTACTACTGAGGTACTACGGATGTGTTCGCGCTTTACTGCAACAGCTGCTCCAAGTACGAGCTGCAGTTATTACTATTACTATTACTACAATCATTTGTAGTGATAGTATTCGCTGTTGTGGTAGCAGGAGTAGTAACTGTTGCAGTTGTAGTCGTAGTAGTATTTGTAGCAGTAATAGTTATTGTTTTAATTGTAGCAGTAGTAGCTATAGTATTTGTAATAGTAGAAGGAGTAGGAGTAGTTGTAATAATTGTTGTACTAGTAGTACTAGTAGCAGCAGTAGTAGTAGTAGT